GCTTATTGTCAAGAGAATTAATGTGAGCATTGGGCATATTAAGCACTCTAAGAGCTGAGGCAGCTTCCTGAAACAAGTGAAGGAAAGTGAGCAGAATAAAAAGAAAAAGGAACCTCAGTTCAGTTGGAGCGCCAGCCCACCCCACCCAGAGAAGCACACTTTGTGAGAACTAATGGAAGCAGGAAAAGAACTTGAGCTGTTGGAGCCCATTCCCTATGAGTTCATGGCTTAATGTACAAGAAGAAGTAAAAGACCTAGACAAAAAAAAAAAAAAATTCAGGTCTATTCCGAACCCTTTCTGTCAGGAGGCATGTGATGAAGACACATAAATATAGTTATGTGATGTTACCACCAAAAGAAGAGATCAAATAAAGATTAATATCGTTATCTACAAGTTTTCTCTTGGATGTATCCTAGAAAATAAATACAAGGCTATTCAAACATTTTTAAGCTATATTAAACTTTGCAACATAGTACAAAATATAGTGCTAATCCAATTGTGGCAGATGTTAAGTCATTTATTCATATTATATGAATTAAAGAAGTCTTTCCAAAGCTATTCTTAAGTATCCAATATTTAAATACAGAACCAATTTCACCTTTACCACAACTATATCATCTCAGTGAAAACATACATTGACAATAATTCTCCTATACAATGTGTGAATCAACTAACTGTATTTTGTTAAGAACAAAAAAAGCTCATGCATGGTAAGCATCAATAGAGTAGCTGAAAATCTTTCCTAAGCATAAAACAAACATAAAACTAGCAAATAATAGAGGCTGAAAACAGTAGAAGCGTAGTTTCCTGAGTCTTGCTTGGGAAGAATGACTGCCACCTATTATCTTTAAAAATAAAGGTCTGATTCAATTCTTCAATTCCATATCTCTACTATTTGGAAGTAATTTCTGTGTTCAAAGTTAATGCTTTTTTTTTTCTTTTCCAATTTGAATGTATTTTAGGCTCCCATAGGAACCAATTTAAGCTTCCAGATCTGTAAATGCATTACAGTAAACACTATTAGATCCACCAGCCTCTAATACATTTAAGGACCAGGGTTCATGGCAACCATGCAATTGGCCTCTGTAACTACCTTTGCATTCATTATTATGTTCAAACAAATAACTTTATCCTTCAGAGGTTTTAGAAGATAAAGTACAATATACAGTATTGTAGCTCAGATCACAATCAAATTACTCTGCTAAGTAAAATTTAGATAAAAATAATCATTATTTCAATTAAACAATAGAAAAAATGGGATTTTTTAAAAAGACAAAATCAGACAGATTATCATTATATATTCTTGAATGTTTACTTGTTCTCTGGTGAGTCAATAAAAAGCACCAGCAGTGCCTTTTAAACCATAATAAAAACAGAGCTACTTTATTCCATATACTCTTACTTTTGATACATTTATTATTCATGAGAATGTAAAAAATCTAAAAGTAAAATCTATCACTAACCATTTTACCAAATGTTTTATTTGCTTATTCATACACAGTCTATCTTCTCTGTTAAGTTGACTTACTCGTATTAAAGTTAGGTTTGTGGGTACAGCACAGTAGAATGAACCATAAAACCAAATAGAAAGTTTCACTGTTGACAGACTACCTATTACTTGAAAGTTATACAAGTATCATGAATGGTTCATCAATTAATAAGTTCATAAGTTACAGCTATTCATGTAGGTGATAAAGTAAACTAACATGCAGAAATTAGCAAAGTTGTGAAGTCCAGTGTTAACATTTGAAGATAGAACTAATGTACATAGTTAACACAAGATAAATATTAGCTGAGTTAGTCCTTCATCAGTGGTTCCAAAATCTATCCTCAAAACTTTAAGGAAATTGTTGTGATTATTAACAAATAAGTTTGATTCTATATTACAAATGCAATTTAGTCTCTCGAATACTATCTCAGAAGGGATGGTTGGCATGGAGGCTCATACCTATAATGAATGGCTCAAGAATGCTAAGGCTGGGGGATTGCCTCTTGTTCCAGATTATGCCAAACCTGGGCTACATGCATAGTGGGTTACAGGTTACCCTTGACTATAGAATGAGACACTGCCTCACAATCACAAGAAATAAATAAGCGAACAAACCAAATTTTGTATATATCCTAACTCCCACCTGCCCCCCCTCAGAAAAAAAAGTTGAGCTAGGCTTAAAAATACCTGGTCTTGAATATCAAGTAAAATAAAAGTAATGAATTTACTGATTGTTCTCTTCTATTTAAGAAAAAGAAAAGAAAATGACTCAGCCTTTAAAATAACAAAATCTCACCCAATATCCTGAAAATTGAAATTTTATGATTAAACTAAAGCTATGATTAAAGTGTAAAGGTAGCAATTTACACAATACCATCATTACGTGTGTATGACAAATATAAATATTCCTATTTCATTACCATAAGCTCAAGTGAGTCAACTGAGTCAGAAAGCTCATGACCTTTATGTCTGAAAGCTATTAACATTATTTCATCTCTTTAATTCTCAGTGAGCTCCTAATTATGTAAAGGAAAGTTTCTTTACTTTGCAAGTGGAAAAACTGAAGTCAGCCAAGAAAGACACTTTGCAGAGGGTGATTCATGAAGTCAATCTCCAAGAGAAGGGTGATATTCACAACTTCAGAGTCCCTGATCCAGAAGAAATACAAACCACATACATCAGTTGTTTTTTTTTGTTGTTGTTGTTGTTATTGTTGTTGTTATTTTTTCTTACCATTCAACTCCTATGCCAGTAGTAGACCCACCTCCCTGAGTAACAAAAAGAGCAGACAGCTGAAACAGAAGCAACTTCAATACATCAAAGAAGGCTAGGAATTGCACATAAGGCTTTGAGTCCATGGCAGGTCTGGAATTAAGAAGCTGTAAAGTGTGTGAAATACTGATATCACCCTGACTTCTACTTCTTCAGGTGAAAGAAGAAGACCTTTGTACTGCGGTCACTTCTGAAACTCAAGGAAGAAAGGAAGACAAATTGTATGGGTTTTCCACTTTAATTCCTTGGCCCAAATCCTGGGCTATTTGAAGAATATCTAATTGGATTATTCAATTTAGGTGGAAAACATCTGCTCAGAACCAAGTCTTCAGTTCTTACTGGCCATGAAAACAAAGAAGGAAGGCCAAGGTCAAATACTGAAGTTGCAGCAAAGACCATCTTGAGGGGACAGAAGTAACAAAGTGTGGGCATATGAGCAGCGCCAGTCTAGCTCTTCCACGCCAAGGTTGATAAGGGTCACGCTTCTTTCCCCAGCCCTCTTTCACTCTATACTCAACTGCAAGTCTATGCTTAGTTTAACTTTTTTTCCCCCGTAAGACCACTCTTAGTCACCTAAAAGAAAAAATTAATTTCAAAAGAAAACCCCATTTAAGCCCCAGGACAAGCAAAGGCTCCTTTCCAATCACCCCTGAAACTTCCTCAGTCTTTCATGCCTGGCTACTGAGCTCAGTCTTGTTTGGCTGACCGCCAGGCTCCTCTCTTCTTTCCTTGTCTGTCGTAAAAACTTGGAAAACGCTCCTGGACAGTCCAAGGAGACCTTTTAATTATGCAATGGAGCAGTACCTTAGCCTGGCCGCTGTTTTGGTGGGTTTTCTAGCAAGCTACTTGTTTGTGCGGCGGAAGAAGAGAAAGACCGGCAGGCGAAGCAGGCGATTTGCACATTGAAACATTTCCAATTCCTCTCTGAATTACCTACCTCATAACATTCACTGTTAGCTTCTAATCTCAGCTCCTTTACGTCCTAATCACTCATATGAACTAAACAAAAGCCAGTATCCTGGTTGCCTGCAAACCCTAGGCATTAATAAGATAGGTACGGCTGAAATAATCTACCAAAGTTTGTATTCTTAAGTCTTGGTGTAGCATTTTTAAAAGCAGCACAAAATATTTTTCATCAAATCTTCCAGTTGATTGCATTATATGTTGTCAGACTTGCAGACTGTAATGATGTATGTAATCATCTAATTGCAGATGAAAGTAAAATGAACTCAGTTTGGAAAATCTAAGACCCAGAAATGGGTACCTGGACCGCCAGTCCCCAGTTGGGAGTTTGCCCAATCCTTACCAAATGGACCTGCCAAGCTCAGCAGCAGCAATGTCTTCCTTACCCTACCTCGGCCCGCTATTTCTAGCTGCAGCGTCCAGCTTCCTGTTCAAGTCCCATTCAACACTGTAAACACATTCCAAGAAAACTAGACTGCCCAGAGTTCCCTCCCGCACACAGGGAAGTCAGACCAGCAGCCCCAGGATAGAGAACAGCCTGGGCCGGCTTTTGAAGCCTGTGGTGAGCGAGGCCCCCGGGAGCAAGCAAGCTTGGCCAAACCGACCCGGAGACCGAGACCTCAACCACCGCCTTGCCCCCCGACCCCCTAACGTAGCGCGCTCTTGAGCGGTGACCTGACCCGGCCAGGGGAAGGGCAGCCGCGTGGACACCGGCCCTGAGTGGACGTCCTGCCCCAGCAGGGTTTTAAAGCGCCGGCTGCGGGCAGAGCTTCGCGCCTTCCCGCCCCCCACGCCTACATTTTCCCGGTGAGCCAACAAAAGCGAGGCCACGCCGGACGAAGTTGGCCCTCGGGTCGCCTCTCGGTGACCCGGCGTTGCTCGTCTGCTCCGCGCACCGGCAGCTGGATGCTCCAGCGTCCCCACCGCTTCCTCCCAGTCCCTGTGCACCCGCAAAGCCACCCAAAGTTACCAGAGAGCCTCCAGGAGGAGGACGCTGCGCCTCTGCCCTCTGCGCTCCGGGTCCTCCCTCTAGCACTGCCACCGTCGGCATCAACAGGTCCCAGCCTCCTCCTCTGCCCCACGACTCCCTGAGCTGCTCCTGGTCCAGGGCTTTTGCAACCTGCCAGGCAGCGGCAGCGCCCAGCGCCCTCCTCCCCGCACTGCCCACCCCCCTCGCTGCGGCCGCCAGCCTCCCTCGGGATATCAGGGTCCCCGCGGCTCCCCGCCACCTGGCCCAGCCGGGCGGGAGCCGGGATGAGCCGGGCTGCTGCGTACCGTGACTCGCACAGGGATGCGGCCGCTAGCGCTCGGGGCACCGGCAGGGAGAGCTCCGGTGATCTGCAGCCGGGATCGCGCTTCCGAGACCGGCAGGGAAAGTTTCTCTGCGTCCTCACTCCGCGTGACTCGGGACCCTCTGGCTCCGGTCCCTTCCTTCTCCGGGCTCTGCCCCCTCCCTCCTCGTCCTAATCAGCCGAAGCCCTAACTGGCGCAGGCGGCGGCGGCTCGGGACTCCGGGTCGCCCGGGCAGGGATCGCGGGGCTCCCCCTCTCGGCCAGAAGGAAACCCTCAGACGCCGGCTGGCGCACTTCAGCGGAGTCTGTGGATACTTTCAAACCGGACGCGGGTGACCAACCGGCCTTCTTTATCTTCGATGGTGGGTTTTCTGCAGTCACCCTGGATTAGCCTTTGCGTACAGAGTCCGAGGGGCCAGGGGTGTGAACAGAGAAGCCGGTTTGTAGCAGGGGCTGTCCCCTACTCGGTCCTTATCCCGGATGGAGCAGAGACACTGTCCGCGCCCCACCCCCACCGCGCCGCGTTTCCTTTTGAACCTCCTCCCTGAGACGCTGTGTTTCTTAAGAATTTAAAACACCTCTGAGGCTTAGGAAGGGGGAAAGTATAAAAAGAAAACGCAAATATGAGGGAGGCATGCCTTCCCACAAGAAACACGGTTGCTGCTGCTCTGACTAGACTTTTATTTTTCTTAATCTTTTAAACTCAGCCTGAATCTTTGCACATTTGTTATGTCCTTAAAAAAAGGAAATTGCCCCCACCACCACATTGTGCTTATTTGCAGCCTTCTAATAGCTTACTTCAGAATTCAGGACTTCTGTATAGAGGGTAACACCCGCAAACCATTCTTAATGAGCCTGGTAAAGCTCTGCAGGCGCGGCGTGGGGGGCGGGGTGGAGTGCCCTCATTGAAGGGAATCTTGGAGGATAGAAGGGCTGCTACTAAAGTTTTTGGAGATAATCCTTAGATTTTAGTTAACTCAATTTTAGTTTAAATGTGAAAATAGAGGGAAAGGGGTCTAAGGCATTTTATAAGGTTAACATTTATAATGTACTGTAGTGGAAAACAGGGCTCAGAGGCAGACAGACAGACCAGAATCCATTCCAGCCCCGGTTCTTACTCTTCTGTTGCCCAGGACACCCTGCTCAATTACAACAGGAAAAAAGAATTACATAATACAGTTCACAGAAGTCACAATCACATGTACAGGAGGTAAAATTGACTAGAGTCAGACAGAGAAGGCACACAATAGGAATTTGGTTCTTACACCCCACCGTATTTTGCTGTAATTAGAAGATATTAGATGGTAGTGGAAATCCACTCCCCCCAAAATCTTGTAACTGGGTTAATTTTCTTTGATACTTTTTCTATAAGGAAAAATGCAGCCTCCCAATTTTTAAAATGGAAACTGCTTAGAACTCAGCATGTTCATCAAAACCCCTTGTTGTGTACACAAGAAAACTGAAGTCCAGGGGCAGCAAGGGATTTTCCACAGACAGCATGTGAAGAGTTCTTTAAGATAAGAAATTAGGCCTCTTCATACTTGATCCATGGTTTTCTGTTCTCTTCTTTATCAAAACAAATAAGTATACATTAAAATTATAATGAGAGGCTGAGGATACAGTTCACTTGGTAGAGGACTTATCTAGCACCCACCTCTTAAATCCAAGCATGGTGACACACGTGTAATCTGAGCACTCAGGAGATAGAGGCAGGAAGATTAAGTTCAAGAGGATCCCCAACCACATAGCTGTGTTGAGGACAGATTGGGATACGTGGGAGCCTGACTCAAAAAAAAAAGAAGGAAATGGAAAGATAGGAGAAAAGAAGAAAGTTTTATAATGAAAGTACCCATCTAAAGGCATTGTTAATTGTTTTTTTCTATAAACTTAACAGTTCATGAACAATCACTGATAATTAAACACCATTTACATGATCACTTTTTATAAACATGAGTATAAACTTTACAAATTGGAGAATTGGAGCCTAGTGCTTAAGAATAAGGAAGTTATCAAATAATCTAGTCCATTATATACCTACAAATACAAGGGGTTTTGTTTTTGTTTTTTTAATGCAATAGAAAAAGATTCCAGCAGAGTATTCTAGACTCCCAAGAATACACTAGGGTGCACTGACTCTAGTTTGAGAAATACTAGATCAGTTTTAAGGAACAACCCCTCTTAAGCAAGTACAGGGCCAAACAAAGAACAAACTACATTACAGAGATCAAGCATTACAAGTTCCTATCTATGAATTAGTGGAAAATGTCATAGCATGTACTTATTTCTTGTTTATTTGCCTTACTAGCTTTCAAGAGGACCTTTAACCCCTGCTCATTTAACTCAAAGTTGAGAGTTCCCTGATAGACCTCACTCCCACCCAAGTTCTTGAAGACTAACTGTGGCTAAAAAGTGTATACATCATGGGATGGATGAATGAAGAGGCATGAATCTTCACTACGGTCTTTTTCCAACTATGACATATCATACTCAGAATTACTCATTGTTATACTTTCTCACAATGTTTAAAGTCTCTAAATTTGCTATTCCTTAGTTTATTTTATAATCTAACTTTTGATATGAACTGCTTTATGAACAAAGGTATAAACAATATAAAAACCTCAAGGATGTTAAAGCCACATTTTCAACAACACTAAAATTAAGCAGAACAAGATTTAAAGTATAGTTATAGCTTGACCTAGGAAGTGAAGAAGGAAGACACCAAAGTGAAAGGTCACAGAACCCTGGCAAATGTGACCATTAGACTATGCTTAATTCTACTCTCTGAAGTTACCTTAGATTTCCATTTAAGAATTCTTCACATCTGTTGTTTTGTATATTGACTTTCATAAAAATAGTGAGCAGCCTTTTAATAATTTTAAAAGCAGTTTTTCTGCTCAGGCCACTTTTATTTTTCTCTTACTTAAATTAAAAGAAAATTGACTGGTTTTGACTAATCAGGAAAAAGACACATCTTTGTAATTCCAGCCCTCTGGAGGTTGGAGCAGGAAGATCAAGAATGTGATAGAATGTCAGTTTGATAGGCATCAGGTAGGCAAAAAATCTGGGTGTGTCTATGAGGGAATTTCTAGAGAACTTTAACTGAGGAGGGAAGATCTACACTGAATGTGGAGCATACAATTCCATGGGCTGGGATCCCAGACAGAATAAAAAGGAAAAAGTGAGGAAATGACCTGAGAATCAGCATCAATTTTTCTCTGCTTCCCCACTAGGGATGCAGTGATGCCAGGTGCCTCCCTCACAGTCCTGCTGGTCACCACACCTTCCCTGGCATGATGGATTGTTGCTTCAAACTGTGAGAAAAGTCAGCTCTTCTTTCTTTAAATTGCTTTTGTCAGGTATTTTGGTCACAGCAATGAGAAAAGAAATAATATAACTTGATTTTTAATATCTTATTATTTTTATTTTATGTGTGTGAGTCTTTTACTTGCATATATATAAATGCAGCCATGTCATGCAATGTCCAAAGAGGTCAGAGAGTGTCAGATTCCCCAGAAACTAGAGTTAAGGATGGTTGATAGTCACCATGTGGGTGCTGGGAACTGAACTCAGGTCATCTTGCAAGAGCAGGCAGTGCTCTTAACTGTTTAGCCCTTCCCAGTCCTGAAAAGACATAATATAACATGTTTGAGGCCAGCCTGAACTACATAAGGAGATCATGTTTTTTTTTTAAAAAAAAAAAAAAGAAAAAGAAAGAGAGAAAAAGAGCATTAATTTGAATGTTACTTGTTATTTTAGGCTGATAATAACCATTTTATTGCTAATTATTACAATAAAGCCCCAAAATGTGCAAATTATTTAGCTCTGTATTACTGCTTATGTATCATTTAACTGACAACTCTTTCTGATAAAAAAATAAGTAAAATGATGCAATTAAAGTCTCAGCTTGAATTTCATTTGAAAAAGGGGATATGTGTTATGTGCAACAAGTGTTAAATATCCTTTGAGTTCCTAGGGAATTCTATCATTTTATTACACATTCTAAAAGAAACACTTTATTTTGTTCATTGTGAGGAAGAATACGCAGCATCTATGTGAAAATAATTAGTAAGGGCAAGTGCAAAAGATGAAATGAATACCATCTCTAATAGTACAAAATAAACATTTTCTCATACTTCTACACTCTCCATGGCTTGTTGAGGTCTCTGAGACATTCCAAAATTATCATCCCTGAAATATAGTGCTCTATGATTTATCTCTCTTTTTGTGATGCTTATAAAGAATTCCACCAAGATGAATCACATATATTTTCATATATATATAGCCTTTCATATGTGAATATGCACACAGACATCGTTATTTTGTTGTAAGTATAAAGATAAGGGCTGGAGAGATGGCTCAGTGATTAAGAGCACTGACTGCTCTTGTAGAGGACCCAGTTATGGTTCCCAGCACCCACATGGTAGCTAACAACTGTCTGTAACTCTAGTTCCAGAGGATCCTACACTCTCTTCTGACCTCTGTGGACATGCGTGCACCTACCTAGATGCAAGCAATACGCTCAGACACATAAAAATAAACATTTAAAAAAAAATTTATTATTTTTACTTTTTGTGTGTATGAATGTATTGCCTGCATGTATGTGAGCGCACCTCTGTCTTGCAATGCCGTGGAGGTCAGAAGAGAACTTCAGATTCCCATGGAACTGGAGTTAAGGACGGTTTGTAGCCACCATGTGGGTGCTGGGAATTGAATTCGGGTCCTCTACAAGAGCAGTCAATGCTCTTAACCGTTAAGCCATCTCTCCAGCCACAAAAAAATAAATAAATTTTTTTTTAATTAAAAATTTGAGACAGCCTGAGAGGGTGGGTTCAGACCTCCATCAGTGTAGCGACTCAGATCTCAGCAGACTATCAGAGAGTGCCGAGTTCTGGCCTCCATCTAGCAGAGGGCTGAGAACCCAGGGGACTGCCTGAGAGCCCCCAGATCCTACTTCCACGTGGTGAAGCCTTTGCGAGGGAACTGATACTGATTCTAACTACTCCAACAGCTATCAAAATACCTGAAAGCAAATCCTGAATCTATCACTCTAGAGTCCAGCCTTGGAAGACAGAAGTAAAATGAGGAAGAACCCAATAGAGGGATGATTTGGAAGCCCTTGTCAAGAAATTCCAATGGACTCTCATATGAACATTTGACATTTGAAAATTTCTGATTTTTTTCTAGTTCCCTGTCTAGAACTTGTAATGCTAATTACTCTTGCCTTTAGTCACATCTCATATGCATGATTCGAGGACTTTCTTTTCCTCTTAAAGATAAGAATTATGCAATTTGGAAATCTTTTAGACAGACCCACTGAAAGGGTACTCCAAGTGCCTCACCCTGTGTCCCTTCTCAGCATGGAAGAAGCCAGAGTGGCCTCCGTCCCTATTCCCTGTTGGCAATTTGGGTAACCTCTTCAGAGGATGGTGTGATAAGAACAGGAGGTAGGAATTGGCTAGGCAGTTAGG